TCAAAACTCTTTTGGAGCCCCGGTTCTAAGTTGTAAAGCATGCCGCACTGAACGAGGGAGTAATCATCAGCACGTGACCGCCAAGCGTTCATAACGTCTTGGTTCTCTGGGATGGGTGCTTCACCTAGCGGTCCTTCTAGGACATATGCTTTCTTGGCAGCTATGAGGATGATCCTTAGGTTCCGGAGCCAGTCCGTATAGTTGCTGCCATCATCTTTCAGCTTGGTTTTTTCTAGGAACGCGTTGAAGTTCATGTTGACATGAGCGTTGGCCATTTGATCTACAAGACATTTTTTGCAAAGATTTTAGACTAAGTTCATGATAATTAAGTTCATCTAATCAAATTATTTAATGAGCTCCCACTCAGATTTGACATCCCTCTAGTCATCTAAGTGTTACATGATCCGAGTCGACTAGGCCGTGTCCGATCATCACGTGAGACGGACTAGTCATCATCGGTGAACATCTCCATGTTGATCGTATCTTCCATACGACTCATGTTCGACCTTTCGGTCTTTGTGTTCCGAGGCCATGTCTGTACATGCTAGGCTCGTCAAGTTAACCTAAGTGTTTTTGCATGTGTAAAACTGTCTTACACCCGTTGTATGTGAACATAGGAATCTATCACACCCGATCATCACATGGTGCTTCGAAACGACGAACTTTAGCAACGGCGCTCAGTTAGGGGGAACATTTTCTTGAAATTATTATGAGGGATCATCTTATTTACTACCGTCGTTCTAAGTAAACAAGATGCATAAACATAATAAACATCACATGCAATTAAATAGTAGTGACATGATATGGCCAATATCATATAGCTCCTTTGATCTCCATCTTTGGGGCTCCATGATCATCTTCGTCACCGGCATGACACCATGATCTCCATCATCATGATCTCCATCATCGTGTCTCCATGAAGTTGCTCGCCAACTATTACTTCTACTACTATGGCTAACGGTTTAGTAATAAAGTAAAGTAATTACATGGCGTTAAATCATTGACACGCAGGTCATACAATAATTAAGACAACTCCTATGGCTCCTGCCGGTTGTCATACTCATCGACATGCAAGTCGTGATTCCTATTACAAGAACATGATCTCATACATCACAATATATCATTCATCATTCATCACAACTTTTGGCCATATCACATCACAAGGCAATTGCTGCAAAAACAAGTTAGACGTCCTCTAATTGTTGTTGCATCTTTTACGTGGCTGCAATAGGGTTCTAGCAAGAACGTTTTCTTACCTATGAATAACCAAAACGTGATTTGTCAACTTCTATTTACCCTTCATAAGGACCCTTTTCATCGAATCCGCTCCAACTAAAGTGGGAGAGACAGACATCCGCTAGCCACCTTATGCAACTAGTGCATGTCAGTTGGTGGAACCTGTCTCACATAAGCGTACGTGTAAGGTCGGTCCGGGCTGCTTCATCCCACAATACCGCTGAAGCAAAATAAGACTAGTAGTGGCAAGAAAGTTGACAACATCTACGCCCACAACAGATTTGTGTTCTACTCGTGCAATAGAGAACTACTCATAGACCTAGCTCATGATGCCACTGTTGGGGAACGTTGCATTAAAATAAAAAATTTCCTACGTTCACCAAGATCAATCTATGAGTTCATCTAGCAACGAGAGAGAGGGGTGCATCTACATACCACTTGTAGATCGCGAGCGGAAGCGTTCAAGAGAACGGGGTTGAGGGAGTCGTACTCGTCGTGATCCAAATAACCGGAGATCCTAGCGCCGAATGGACGGCACCTCCGCGTTCAACACACGTATGGTCAGCGTGACGTCTCTTCCTTCTTGATCCAGCAAGGGGGAAGGAGAGGTTAATGAAGATCCAGTAGCACGACGGCGTGGTGGTGGATGCAGCAGGGATCCGGCAGGGCTTCGCCAAGCGTCTGCGGGAGGGAGAGGTGTAGCAAGGGGTAAGGGAGGCGCCAAGTGCAAGGGTGCGGCTGCCCTCCCTCCCCCCTCTTTATGTAGGGACCCCAGGGGGGCGCCGGCCTAGGAGATTGAATCTCCAAGGGGGGGCGGCGGCCAAGGGGGAAACTTGCCCCCCAAGGCAAGTGGAGGTGCCCCCTCCCCTAGGGTTCCCAACCCTAGGCACATGGGGGGCCCAGGGGGGCGCACCAGCCCACCAGGGGCTGGTTCCCCTCCCACTTTAGCCCATGGGGCCCTCCGGGATAGGTGGCCCCACCCGGTGGACCCCCGGGACCCTTCCGGTGGTCCCGGTACAATACCGGTGAACCCCCGAAACTTTCCCAATGGCCGAAACTCGACTTCCCATATATAATTCTTTACCTCCGAACCATTCCGGAACTCCTTGTGACGTCCGGGATCTCATCCGGGACTCTGAACAACTTTCGGTTTGCTGCATACAAATATCTCTACAACCCTAGCGTCACCGAACCTTAAGTGTGTAGACCTTATGGGTTCGGGAGACACCCAGACATGACTGAGACTGCTCTCCGGTCAATAACCAACAGCGGGATCTGGATACCCATGTTGGCTCCCACATGCTCCTCGATGATCTCATCGGATGAACCACGATGTCAAGGATTCAAGCAACCCCGTATACAATTCCCTTTGTCAATCGGTACGTTACTTGCCCGAGATTCGATCGTCGGTATCCCAATACCTCGTTCAATCTCGTTACTGGCAAGTCACTTTACTCGTACCGTAATGCATGATCCCGTGACCAGACACTTGGTCACTTTGAGCTCATTATGATGATGCATTACCGAATGGGTCTAGAGATACCTCTCCGTCATACGGAGTGACAAATCCCAGTCTCGATCCGTGTCAACCCAACAGACACTTTCGGAGATACCCATAGCATACCTTTATAGTCACCCAGTTACGTTGTGACGTTTGGTACACCCAAAGCACTCCTACGGTATCCGGGAGTTACACGATCTCATGGTCTAAGGAAAGGATACTTGACATTGGAAAAGCTCTAGCAAACGAACTACACAGTCTTGTGCTATGCTTAGGATTGGGTCTTGTCCATCACATCATTCTCCTAATGATGTGATCCCGTTATCAATGACATACAATGTCCATAGTCAGGAAACCATGACCATCTGTTGATCAACGAGCTAGTCAACTAGAGGCTCACTAGGGACATGTTGTGGTCTATGTATTCACACGTGTATTACGATTTCCGGATAATACAATTATAGCATGAATAAAAGACAATTATCATGAACAAGGAAATATAATAATAATCCTTTTATTATTGCCTCTAGGGCATATTTCCAACATGGAGTCCTCCATGATTCGCGCCATGAGCCGGGCCTCCTCCTCCGCTGTCATGCGAGGAGGTGGTGGTGGCGACGGAGAGGGTGAAGGCGACGGCGTGGGCGTGAGGCCGCGCAACCGCGTACGGACGCACTCATGGGGAGCACGCGCTGCGCGCTCTAGACGTGGCCGTCATGGCCCCGTCGAAGTGCCGGCGAAGAATGACGTGCGCCACACGCCGTGCTCGTCCTGGAGCCATGTGTCCCAGAGCGATGAGTCGGGGGCGTACCTGTCGTCACAGTACAGGTCGTCAGGGAGGAGGCGGCGATGGTGCTGGATCTCCTCGCGGCGCGCACGGCCACTCTGCAGCACCGGCGGGATCGGCACCCGGTTGGCGGAGAGGTGCCAGTTATTGGGGAGGTGCACGTCGCTCCACGGGGGCGACGTCCTCGTCTCCAAATAACGGCGGCTTACATCCGCCGTGATGTACTACCGGTCGCGCGCGCCGCCAGCCGTAGAGCCGATGGTGAACGGGGCAGGCGCGGGGCTCCGACGCGGTGGCGGTGATGCGGGCTCCTCCTTCACGGAGCCGCGGCGGCGGCCCGACGACAATGCCGCCTCACGGTCGTGCTTCCCCTTGCGGCCGTGGTTCCAGAAGCCCATGGCGGCTGCGAGGTGGCCGGCCGACGAGATCGGGGACGGGGAGGGGGCTAGGGTTTGGGGTGTTGGTCTCGAGGAGGCAGGAAGGGCCCGACTGGGGAGTGTGGACGACGGCCGGTCCACGACTTCCCATTTAAGAGGGAAGCGACCGTTCGCTGGGCGGATGACAGGTGGGGTCGACCACCCGTACGCATTTATGTCAGGCGGTGGGAGGTACGTGGCCGCCTGCCACACGGGCGCGCGTTCGTTTGCCGTCCGCCACGACCGAAACCCAGCGCAAGTTTACGCTCGAAATGGGTCGGCCCGGACATAAAACGGACATGATGGGTCCGGGCCTTCGCGCGCTGGGCCGTCCGGTTTGTTCATTTTATCTCAAACGGATGAGACCGGACAGGATGGGGTTGCGCGGTGGAGTTGGCCTTAGTGACCGGGCCATCGGGCCGGTCAGTTTGGGGAGCCTTGAGTAAAGCTTACATTGATCACCGGACAAGCAAGGCTCTACCAGCAAGCAAAGCATGCCGGTCCAACAGAACTGGGAACACTACAGTCATATCTTTGGCTTTTCCCTGGCATTCCAAGGGACAAGGGACCCTACCTTCCGTTCGTTCGTAGGGGGTGAACGAGGACTAAAGTACTTTTCTTTCCAATGATCGAATCTGGCCTGATAGGTGTCTACTGTCTAGGTTCCGATTTCTTCTCTTCCCTGTCAAATATCGCCTCTTGGATTCGTGACAGCGAAACACAGAGTACGATGTCAGTCACGAACATTTGTTGGAGTAGTGGTTAATAACAATAACGAAAGAAAGATCAACTATACAGGTCGATACCAAGCTCAGCTCGTAATCAAAGGAACCGTCTTCGCACACTCTTCATCAACCCAGAAACGCATCGAACCAATTCGCTGTGAGAAATACGCATCAAACACTTTCCTGATTCTGTATTCTACAATTCCTCCCGACATCTGCAATCCCCCAAATCAATTTGTACACCATCTTATTACCACCTGAGTTGTACAACATCAAGTAATCACGCCTTGGGGGCAAGCCGCCGGCGGCCGGCCACCCGCCCGTCGTCCGATTCCCTAGGCGCAGGCGCAGGGGTTGTCGACCACGACGAGGTCGTCCCCGTCCACGTCGCCGCTGCGGAACGCGAGGTACCCGGCCGCGAGCCCGAGCACCACGGCGATGAACACCCCGCCGTTGAACGACATGACGGCGAGCATGAGGAGGTACCCTATGCCCGCGTTGACCCCGAAGAGCGCCGCCGTGGCCACCCGCGCCGGCCAGCGCCCGTCCAGGAAGGCGGCGGAGCCCGGCGCTAGCAGCGGGGCCCTCGCGTCGGAGCCGGCGGGCGGGGGGAGGGGGTCCGCCTTGGCGCCGGCGAGGAGCTTGACGCGGATCCGGAAGGCCTCGAGGTACTGGTAGAAGGCGGCGGCGAGGAAGAGCGCCAGGAGGGAGAGGAGGTAGCCCGTCCACGCGGACGTGCGCCAGCCGTCGAACAGGATCGTGGCGGACGTGCCCCAGTAGAAGGTCATGTGCATCATCGTGGCCGGCGGGCAGGGGTCGCGGGCGGCGAGGGTGGGGTTTGGGATTTCGACGCGGTGGGGGAGGAGGGACGCCGCCGGACGGGGAAGGGGCGGGCAGAAAGGGAAAGGAAGGACGAGGATTTCCGGCGAAGCGACCGGTGGGATTTTAAAGGCGCGGCCTTTGTTGCCGAGCCGCGGCCTTGGGGCACGGGGTTCCGATGTATTTACGTTCCGCGCCATTGGGAAGAATGTAACGGAGGTTGGGCTTCCCGGCACGTTACATCTTGTCTCGCTGGGGTTTTACACTTTTACTGGAGTAAATTGTTTACAGGAGATCCTTGAAAGCAAGCAATGCCTAACGATCGCTAAGTTTTGTCTCGTTATTTCAAGTTTCAACATAATTATTGTTAAGATACTAAGTGATTTTCTGTTACGTTTAATTCAGATTCGTCACGACTTTACTGACATGCCAAAATCACACAGAATAGACTTTGCATATGCCCCGTAACACATGCCAACAGAGATATTCAGAACATATGAGTTTCATTGTGGTGAAGATGACGCAGCCGTTCATCATAGAGGGGGTAGGATGGTCGGTCGTCAAAGATGTAATCGAACTTGAGCAAGCAATCACGCTCATCAGAAACCTTATCGCCCCTCACCTAGTGTAGGTCATCAATTGACACAATCTCACAAACATGCTCTTCGGTACAGCTGTCCACATGACTATTTCTCAATTAGAGAGAAATGAGACGGTGAAATTGGCATCCAGTGAAAGAAATCTTTGAAAGCAGAAAATTGCATTTACAATGAGCTTGAGTATTAATTGTCACGTACACCTTTGGACTTTATTCACGCAATGCACGCAATGAATGAGTGAGGTGCATGTTGGACTCTCATTTCATGCTACAAGGACCTTATGTTGGTGTTTTCTACTCAAGAATCAATGCGGAATTAAAGTTTGAAAACTTTTACTGCTATGTTCAGATATAGTAAGATTTAATGAGTAAATTCTACTACTTATGTACACTAATGCAAGACATTTTTGCAATTCAATTAGTGTACAGAGTAACATTTCTCCCTCCTCGGAAGAAGTACCAAGTCTTGAGATTTCTCCCCTACCACGTCCATTGTTTCCCATTCTTGAAATACTGTGTCGGGTTCGAGCTTTTTAATTGGTTTTTTTAGGATCAAGCTATTTAATTGCCTGGTAGCTTGACTTTTTGGGTATATACTCTTTTAAAACAATTTTTTATGTGACACGGCGGGTCAAAATTGCGAAACCCCGAACCGGCTGGCAGCAGGCGCGAAACTTGCCTTCCGCGCGTCGTGACGTGACAACGTGCGAACGGAATCGTGGGCAAGCGACGGAAAAGGGCGCCCAAAAGTCTACACTCGTGGATGAGACCGGTAGGGGCACCCACGTAATTAGCCGGCAAGGCCTGCCCAATGAAGCACCTCACCGGGTAGTACTCGCGCGGCAGGGGCGCAGGCAGTACATGCGCGCGACCTGTACTGCAGTTGTACTCCCTCCCGCGGCAGGGGCAGGCGCGCGCTCGGCCGGCCGCGCGGTGGGTGTGGAGGTGGCGTGTCCGCAACAGGCAAACGGTTCATTTTTTCCGTTTACCCCGTTGCAGTGCGCCGTCTTTTTAGGGGAGTGCGCCGTTTTCTTCCGTCCCTGTTTATTCTGAATACCCAGAACTCAAATCAAATACTGGGGCATACGAATTATACCCTGCATACGTGCACATAGGAGCTGACACCTCCGAAATGAATCTTTCTTTTGCAAGATTGTAAGGACACAAAAAGAGGAAAAACATAGGATTAGCATACTTTTGATTTATTATATAAATATATGCAAACAAACTTTTGATTTATAAATTTAAATTGAGTGATTATTTATCCTAACTTCTTATAATAAATAAGTATATCTAGTAGACTAAATTCTGTTTTTTGTTGACCATATTTATTAAAAATATAAATAATATGCAAATAAAGGTTAATTTTGAATTTGCCGAAGCAAACATCTGAATTTATTCTTCATTAGTTCGCTTTAGAAAAAATCTACACTCAACATACAACATTACCTCTTTCATGTCGAAATTTGGCATTTTTTTGGGTTCCTTTATTATTTTTAACCTATTAAGTGTATCTCTTGGCATTTAACGGATATAATTCAAATGTGAACTGCAAGTACACAGAGTAATGAGCACAACTGGGTTGACGAAACATCAGGGTGCCAAAACTCGACCGCCAACCTCGAGCTTATTGGTTGTAAATTCAAATAAAGAGGCAAACAAAGTTTGAAAAACATAAAACTTGGCATTTTGTCATATACCTAGAGGTCGTGGTAAAAAATTGATATTGATTCACAAAGGTTTTCATTTAAACTGCTTAGAAATTGAACCACCTCCAAGTAAGAATCATGGTTTCGAAAGGGAACGAGTTAGGTTTTAAGGCGAAGTGACGATTATCTTCATTAGTTGGACTTGATAAGTTTTTTCTGAACTCAACATACACCACGGAATCTTTTATTTCAGACTTCTTTTGAGTGTGTTTGCTATATTAAAGTCATCGAGTGCATTTCTAGACATTCAACAGACATAATTCAAATGTGATCTACAAGTAATTAACTAATATGAACAAACGGGTTGAAAATATTATTTGTGTTACTGAGTTATATGTAGACCTCACCCAAGAAAATGAAAAGAAGTTTCAAACTTCTAGGTGGCAAGACTCGATTGCCAACATGAAGTTTATTTATTTTTATTCTAAAAAAATGCAAATGAGGAATTAGAAACACAAAACTTGGTTGGAAATCATATTTAGGATCTTGAGTAAACTTTTAAGTCTTTTTAATCGTAGAAAGTGTGGAGGCTGGTAAATATTTAGGGCTCACTTCCTCACTCGTTAAAAAGAAAAAAATAAGTTAAGAAAATGACTTAACGGCATGCAAGTATCACTACAGGAAACAACTGATTTGTCGTTTGCCATGGCAGACAGCAAAGGACCAGTGTCGATGTTTTGGGAACCAGGGTACTCAGACTTGCTTGCGTGCGGCCCACGGTGTGGCTTCATCGACGGCCTGGTACAACCCATCTACAACACCAACAAGACAAGACCCTTGCGAGGGGCCAAGCCTCGCGAGGTGGACGACATCAAGACCTCCGGAGGGAGCGGCTGAGGGAGCCCTGGATTAGGGGGTCCTCGGGTGTCCGGTCCATTCGATGTGGGCCGGACTGATGGGTCGTGAAGATAAAGCAGAAGACTATCCCCCATGTCCGGGTAGGACTCCTATATGCGTGGACGACAAGTTTGGTGTCTGGATGTAATATTTCCTTCCCTTGTAAACCGACTCAGTACAACCCTAGGCCCCTCCGGTGTATATATAAACCAGAGGGTTTAGTCCGTAGAGGCTATTAGAATAATCATAGGCTAGACATCTAGGGTTTAGCCATTATGATCTCGAGGTAGATCAACTCTTGTAACCCCTATACTCATCGAATATAATCAAGCATGACGTAGGGTTTTACCCCGTCATCCCTTGTTACCATTGATCCTTAGACACACAGCTTGGGACCCCCTACTCGGGATCTACCTATTTTGACACCGACATTGGTGCTTTCATTGAGAGTTCCCTTGTGTTGTCGACAGAAGGATCAATGGCTCACCTTGTCATTGACAACAACGCTGTTTCCAGGGAGACTTTTCTCCCTAGTCAACTCTTTGTGTTTGGTGGTTTCGTGCTACATGCCAACTCGACCGGTCACCTTGAGCAGATCGACGGTTACGCCCCTGGTTACCGGATCAGGTTTGAAAGTCTGGACTACATCGCAGATATCCGAGGAGACCTGGTTTTCAAGGGGTTCGAGACCTCGGTGAAAGTGCAACTAATCCCGGGGTGGTTTTGGTAATTCTTAACAACATATAGTTCATTGAACTAATGATCTTTCAAAATAACCATTTCAGAAAGTTCAATGATTGGCATGGCATGGACTAGAGATGTGGACCCCTCAAAATGCAAAGGACATATATTGGCAACAAGCTCAAGACTCTACATTTTCATTTTAGTGATCCAAGATCACATTGAGTCCATAGGAAAGCCAATACTATTAAAAGGGGATGAGGTGTTGCTTAATGGCTTAGTTGCTCAAAATGCTTAGTGATATGCTCCAAAAACCCTCAGCCACTTTCTCATTTCCACATTTGTCCTAAACCTAAAGTCAAATTCGGCCCCACCGATTTGATCTATCCGGCGCCACCGAGTTTCGTGTGACATAGCCACTGCCACAAACCCTAGTTATTTGGTCTCACCGATAGGGATCTCGGTCTCAATGAGATGGGATTGCAAACTCTCTATTTCCTTTTTGTAACATTTCAGTCTCACCAAAATGAGCAAATCGGTCCCATCATGTCTGCATTGCAAACTTCCTGTTTCCTTTCTGTAACACTTCGGTTCCACTGAAGTGAGCGAATCGGTCCCATCGAGTTTGCCTGGCCAACCCTTTGTGTACCTATTGCTCAAATCGGTCCCACCGAGTTTATGCAATCGGTCACACCGAGATTACGTTATTCCCTAACCCTAGCGCATCAGTCTCGTCGAGATGACTATATCGGTCCCATCGAAAATCCTAACGTTCACATTTCTACCTGGATCGGTGTGACCGAGTTTGTGATTAGGTCACACCGAGTTTGGGAATCTGTGTGTAATGGTTAGATTTTGTGTGGAGGCTATATATACCCCTCCACCCACTCTTCATTCGTGGAGAGAGCCATCATAACGTATCTACACTTCCACTACTCATTTTCTGAGAGAGAACCACCTACTCATGTGTTGAGGCCAAGATATTCCAATCCTACCATATGAATCTTGATCTCTAGCCTTCCCCAAGTTGCTTTCCACTCAAATCATCTTTTCCACCATAGCCAAATCTGTGAGAGAGAGTTGAGTGTTGGGGAGACTATCATTTGAAGCACAAGAGCAAGGAGTTCATCAACAACACACCATCTATTACCTTTTGGAGAGTGGTGTCTCCTAGATTGGTTAGGTGTCACTTGGGAGCCTCCGTCAAGATTGTGGAGTTGAACCAAGGAGTTTGTGAGGGCAAGGAGATCGCCTACTTTGTGAAGATCTACCCTAGTGAAGCAAGTCCTTCGTGGGTGATGGCCATGATGGGATAGACAAGGTTGCTTCTTCGTGGACCCTTCGTGGGTGGAGCCCTCCATGGACTCCCGCAGCC